TTTCATCTTAAATGTTCATTATAATCCTTGTGGAGATACGCAGCCCTGTTGGGAGTTCTCATTACAGTTTTCCACTTTACTGTTTGCATTCCTATTGTGTAGCAAGAGATTCTTAGCAGAAAGCTTCTTTATGTTGGCATGGCTACTGAAAAGATGCTTGGAATACATCTCTTGTTATTTGGTAGTTCAATCATTATCAACTCCTTCTAGAACTGATAATATATCTTTGAACCTATGAAGTGTCAGCTTTTGGAGTTCCTCGGATATGATTATATTCTTTGCCTTTTTGTTCTGTCTGCCTTGTTCTTTTCAGGTTACAGCATGGAAATAAACACACATCACTAAGAATATTGATTTTGTTACAAACCTCTCCTTGTTTCTAAGATACCTTTTTTGATCTTTTTCCTATAAATGACACACATGATATAGAGTGATTCATGTAACTAATTTACTTGGTATTGGATAAATCCCTGGGCTTTTGTCACGATAGCTTTAAAGGTATATGGTGTAGCTTGGGGAATTGTTCTGAAGGTAATGACGCCATGAATTAGTTGGAAACTGTACGAGATTCATAATTTGTAAAACACAAGTTTTTTACTAGAATTCCTTACCACTACAATAAAAACTACACCTCAACTCAACTTGTTGGGGGACTCGAATTATTCCATGAAATAAATATGTTATGAAAATTAGCTGATCTGTGAACACTATATCATATTAGGAGAAAAGTAGTTGGCATTTACACATTCCAGTTAAAATTGAGTCATGGTGAAAAGTACTTTCACCTTATCTAGAATTTTTTTTCCAAAGAAGTGGTTGCAGTTCAAGAAAAACATAATTCAACAAAGTCCTTAAGTTTAAATTGAAAACAGAGAGATTGAGCTTAAATGCAACCCATGGGAAAAGTATTGCACAGTTATGTTAAAAAGGAACCTTTACCTAAAACACATCTTCATTGTTAACTTCTTCCTTTCTACTCGCATAGATATTGTAATGTGTAACTTCTTCATTCCCAGGTTTATCTCCTGCCTGCTTTTGAAGAGAGAGTTATGTGCCTTAGCTATTTTTTTAATGAAGTTCACTGATGTCTTACTACAAAACCTGCAGATCCTTCTGAATCCTCTCTATTTGCCAGGATCTCGCATCACATCATCTCACTTCGATACCAAAGTTAGAGCCCTTGCAAGAAAGTACCTCTGAAGACTAACTATGGACCAGTGCTAAACATGAATTGTATGAAATTCAAAGTTCATTCCTCCCAGTTATATGAAATTGATGACTGGTTATTGTGTTTGGAATGATTATATTTCTCATGGTAAAAGATTAAGTTCACTTGTAGACCACCTTTTCATCAAGCTGATGTTTCATTATTATGATTATTATATAACTGCCAGAATACATGAAACACTGAGCTTAGTTACTTGTTTTGCTATATCCTAGTCCATACATTGATTCCAATATAATGCATGTGAATGTCATACTCATACTATTCATGCATGTGATGCAACTAGCTCAAAGGCTTTCGAGAACTTGTCGTTTGGTGGTCGCCTTAGCTCAGCCAAACTCATAGATTGAAGAAGCGTGACTTCGTGAGTGTTCTCTTGTACTCCTATTATTTTTCTTTATTGGTCTGCACGTTCTTCTTGTTTTCCTTTCTCTTTGGAGGTGGTATTATCAAAAGGGTATTGTATGAAGTGTAATTTGCTACTATGCCAAATTCCACAGGCAAGAATTAAATGCTCATTTAGTTACTAACGTGATTATAAGAGACTTACGAGCACCTGAAAGGCTGAAAGTATATGAATTAGTGAACCACCAGTTCAAAAGGAGAAACCAAAAAGGAAAAAAAGAGGAACAGTTGATTATACTAGGGATTTCTGCGCCAACGCAAGAAAGGTAAGGAGATAAAGAACCCTTACATAAATGTCTTTGCACTCTGCAGAACGTAAAATAAGAAAATCTGGCTGACAAAAGGCAAGAAAAAAAAATGCTACAATTCCTTTATCTCCACAATTTTTTTTTTCTTTTCAGATGAACATATTCCCACCTATACTTATTAACCAGCTCGTTCATCAAAGTCACACGGTGTATTCATTATATTTTTGGTTTTCCACCCGGTGTTCGGTACCCACATTGGGGCCTGACTAAATTCGGATTTGTGCCGGGAAGTCCCACATTGGAGGGTAAAGCACTCCCTAACAAAGGCGACTCCATACTCAGGGACTGGAACCCGAGACTTTTGGTTAAGGATGAAGGAGTACTTACCACTCCACCACAACCCTTGTTGGTGTGTATTCATTATATATAACATACAGGGGCGAATAGTTTTAGCCGAACTCAATTGATCTTTTTATTGGAACCATGTTAAAAGAATGTAAAATGCATACATTACATTATGAACACATCGACTCTAGATTCTGAATTCTTATCTGATCAAAAAGCACGCTTACTGTTTTGAATTCCACGGCGGGACTTATTTTTTTTGCCAATACCTCTACACAATCCACATGCATATACCCTAGGAGACGACGGTTCTATAGCTGTAGACACCCTACCAGCGCCGTTGGATTTGCTCCTCTCCTTTAATCCAAAGGTTCTTGATGAAGCTGCCTTCACCTGCATATTCTCCTCTTTGGGTTGTCCTTGTTGTCCCTTGGAATGAGAAGCTTTGTTACATTTTGTAATTTTGTACTTATGGTTAATATGCTGATTCAATTCACCTGATAAGAATTTGTCGTCCCATATAAGTCCAGAAGAGCCTTGTCTGCGAAATGAAACAGCTGATCTTTGCAACCCAGCCATCAAAAATTGATGAAATACTGCACCCTTTGGCCGTCTCAATCTTTTTTTTTAATCTAAAGCTTGAATTCTTCTTTGTTGTTCTTTTTTTTATACTCTTCTCTATCCCCAAAACTTTTTTTCACAAACATCAAGTGAAGACACAGATTTATAGGAAGACAGTAGAAGAATTAATATTTAAAAAGGCAAAGAAAAATCAAATATGGCATACGGGATGGTCGTCCTCTTGCTTGACAACTCAATCAATTGCTTGTTTTCATATTTCAGCTATTTATTTATTGCATAGAATTATCAGCTTGATTTAAAGTGATTTTTATATTTGACTGGTAACATATCGGTCAGTCTTGGGACTCTTGACATGTATTTCGTTTTAACTTTATGTATTCACAATATATATTTTTTGGACATACGTGAAACCCCAACTTACAAGTAAGCTGTGCAACTACGTTAAATTACATCAATAGTGTAAAAAGATTTTTCGACGAATAATGTAAATTGTAGAAGTTCAATCTGTTTTATTTACGTTTTTCTTAATACTCGCCATCCAACAAACGAGACTGGATCCGTTGACGAAAAACCTTTTTTAACTAATAAATCAAAAGTTCAAGTCCTGTGATTTTATACTTGCCTTTGACAATTGAAATCCAAAATGGTATGCTCCGGTCTGTTTCATTCATCATTTTCTTTATATATTTTCTTCACAAGGTAATTCCGGATGAGATATTCGTGACACAACATAGGCTCTTAGTGATGATGTTGGTATTATGTTAAAGAGGAGGAAAAGGTCTGCTCGAGGAAGACCGAGAATCAGGTGGGGAGCCTTAACTAAGGATAAAGCCCCAGAGTTGGAGGGACGGTTGTCGGCTATGGGAGCTCGGAGGAGCAATGATGACGCGAGCATTATGTGGTCAACGACAGCAGACTGTATAAGGGAGGCTGCAAGAGAGGTGTTAGGGGTCTTGAGGGGCATCTCTGGCGGGCACAAAGGAGACTGGTGGTGGATTGAAATGGTACAAGGTAAAGTGGAAGCGAAGAAGGTGGCGTACCTGAAGTTAGTGGGGAGCACAGGTGAGGAGGAGAGGCGAGCGTGCATGGAGAGGTATAAGGTAGCTAGGAAGGAAGCTAAGATGGCGGTCACAGAGGCTAAGACTGCGGCTTGGGGGGGGAGAGAAGTTATTCCGGGTGGTCAAGACGAGAGAGAGGAAGACTCGGGATTTGGACCAAGTGAGATGCATCAAGGACAAGGATGGTAGAGTATTGATGGAAGATGCCCAGATTAAGAGGAGATGTGAGACTTACTTTTATAAACTTCTGAATGAAGAAAGGGATCAGGATATTGTGCTAGGTGAATTGGAGCATTCCGAGAGTCACCATGAATTTGGGTACTACAGGCGTATCAAGGTTGAGGAGGTCATGAGAGCTATGCGTAAGATGAGTAGAGGCAGAGCAACCGGGCCAGGCGAGATTTCGGTGGAATTTTGGAAGCGTGTGGGGAGAGTAGGTTTGGAGTGACTGATTGGATTGTTTAATATTATTTTTAAGACGAAGAGGATGGCGGATGAGTGGAGGTGGAGTACTGTGGTTCCTTTATATAAGAACAAAGGTGATGTCCAGAGTTGTAACAATTATAGGGGTATCAAATTATTGAGTCATACCATGAAAGTATGGGAGAGGATGATTGAAGCGAGGGTGAGGATGACGGTGTCTGTATCCGACAACTAGTTCGGGTTCATGCCGGATCGTTCTACTACGGAAGCTATACATCTTCTTAGGAGGTTGGTAGAATAGTTCAGGGAGAGGAAGAAGGATCTGCACATGATGTTTATTGACCTAGAGAAAGCGTATGACAAGGTTCCTAGAGAAGTTCTTTGGAGATGCTTGGAGGCAAAAGGTGTGTCGTTTGCCTATATTATGGCGATTAAGGACATGTATGATGGGGATAAGACTTGGGTTAGGACAGTAAGAGGTGAATTTGAGCATTTTTCAGTTGTTATGGGGTTACACCAAGGTTTTGTGTTCAGTCCGTTCTTATTCGCCCTGCTGATGGACGCGTTAACACACCATATTCAAGGGAAGGTGCCATAGTGCATGCTATTCGTCGATAACATAGTTCTGATTGATGAGTCGCGAGCCAGTGTTAATGAAAGGCTGGAGGTTTGGAGACAGGCTCTTGAGTCTAAGGGTTTCAAACTGAGCAGGACGAAGACGGAATACCTGGAGTGTAAGTTCAGCGCTGAGACAGGGAAAGTGGGCGTGGATGTAAGGCTTGAATCACAGGTCATCCCAAGTAGAGGCAGCTTCAAGTACCTTGGGTCGGTTATCCAAGGAGGAGGGGAGATCGACGAGGATGTCACACGCCATATTGGGGTAGGATGGATGAAGTGCAGGTTAGCATCTGGAGTCCTATGTGACAAGAGAGTGTCACCGACACTCAAAGGTAAGTTCTACAAAATGGTGGTTAGGTTGGCCATGATGTATGGGGCTAAGTGTTGGCTTGTTAAGAACTCACATATCCAGAAGCCCGTAAATTTGAATCGGTTGTGGATGCATTAAATGAGTATTAACGTGATGGTAATCAATTTGTTATGATAATAAGTGTACGAGGCATAGCATAAGTGATTTAGGGTCCAAGGAGAGACATAAGTCTTAGCTAAGTCGGAAAATTACATGATAGACTAAAATTCCAAATGAGTGCGCACAAGACCATACTTTCGACAAGAATATCTACAGATATATAAGGTTTTAGATGATGCACAACCTATCAAATGAAAGGTCTTTGAATCTAGTTTCTAACTCTTCAAACTGTTCGTCATTTGGACTTTCCTACAAGAAGTTTTGACCAAATTACCAAAGACTAGTGGAGGATTGCGCGGATGCGAAGCATCCGAGGCCGCATCCGAAAAGAGTGGTTGGATGTGAAGTGTTGCCATAGAATCCGAGTAGCATCCGAGCTCTTGAGCGGAGGACTGCTCAGATGCGAAGCATCCACGCCCGCGTCCGAAATCTGGGCTTATAAATACAATTTCGAGATTCATTTTCCCCATTCTATTTAGACGACCCTTAGGGTTCTTCTTCACTCACTCAAGAGTACCAACTCCTATCATCTTCAAGGTAAGCAATCCCCATTATCTTGGTGTGAAATTCCATCATTTTTACACTAGTATTGATGAAATCTACACATAACATATAAAGATCTTCAAGAACTCAAGGAGGTTTTTGTAAGATTTTTTCCAAAAAGTTAATCTTACACCCTTAGACTTACATGTATGGATTTATTAAGGGAATATGAGTATGAATAAGTAATAGAACTATTGGTATGGTGATCGGAAGCCATTAAATTCCCAATTTAATTACATAACTATGGTAGAGATAGAATAGATGATTATTTAATGAAACTTTGTTGGTTGGGTGTGGATGGATGGTCACGTATGTGATGTTGGAAATTATAAATTGGTTAATCATGATGGTGGGATAAATTGTTGATGAATGGTGGTAGTTGGATGAACTAAATATACGGTGATGGGATGTAAAGATATAAGGTGTTTGATAATATGCCTAAATGGCTTAAGTTATGGAATTCATTACTAATATTGGTTCCATTGGATGTTGCTATTGTAGATTGAAGGTTCTTAGTGTTGTGGATCATTGTAGTATCACTAAGGGGCGAAATTGAGGTATGTGAGGCTAACCCTCTTTACGTTTAGGAATGTATATGATTCTCCCTACGTCCCATTCATTATGACTATTACTAGTTTCCTCAGAAAGTAATTATGTCTTAGTTCCATGAATAGTCGTAAAACTTCTATTCTCTAGCTTCATAACTCATTCATGACTTTCATTCTAAACGTTGTGAAATCAGTGCATAATCAATATAGACTTGGGTTTGATGCCCATGAGTCTCAGTCTAAATTATTTAGCATGTCATAAACAGTTGAAGTTTCAGTTTTCATAATCAGTTCATGAATACATGTCTCAGTCTAGTTCTATTTAGCCTTCGAGTATCGTGTAACTCATTATGATTCGGTATTTCAGTATCATGTATTGCAGTATGATTCTAAGTTCCTGATTTTAAATCCCTGAATGTTGAACCCTTGTATTTGGGCCTGAGGCCGTAGTTTATGTTTTATGCATCTTTGGGCCTGAGGCCGCAGTTATGTATACGTATACTTGGGCCCGAGGCCGCAGTTTAATATTCAGATAAACACGTTGTTCATCATTCAGAAGAGGGAGTATTCATATCCTTACTTCTTTTATTCAGTTCATTTATTAGCTATCATTTCAGTTATCAATTATCAATTATCAGCTATTAGTTATCATTTCAGTTTCAGTTTCAACAGTTACAATTTCAGTTATCAATTATAAATTCTTAGTTATTAGCTCGGTATTAGTTTCAGCATTTATAATTCTTTCTTTCAGTTGCTTTACATACCACTGCAATTCAAATGTACTGATGTCCCTTTTTGTCCGGGGCCTGCATCTCACGATGCAGGTACTGATTTACAGGTTGACGATTTAGAGCGCTAGGATTCTCGTATGAGCTATTTGGTGATCCCTAGTTCTTTCGGGGCATTATCATTACTTTAAAGTCTTTTAATATTTACAGACAATCAGTATTTTCAGTACTCCAATAGAGGCTTCATAGACTAGAGTAACAGTTAGACAGAGTCACAAGCTTTTTATGTTAAGCAATGTTGGCTACAGACATATTTCAAACTTGTATTAGTGTTTCCACACTTTGATTTTTATCATTCAGACTTTTAGTATATCAACATGTATTAGTTTATCTTCCGCATTTTGTATGTTATGATATCACATGTTGATTCAACCAGCCAGTTGGTTCGCTCAGTCACATGTAATCAGGCACCGAGTGTCGTGTTATGTCCAGGCCCAGGTTCGGGGCGTGGCAATGAAAGTAGCATAAAGGAGGATGTTGAGGTGGATGTGCGGGCACACTAGGATGAATAAAATTAGGAATGATGATATTCGGGAGAAGGTACGCATGACTCCCATTGATGACAAGATGCGGAAAGCGAGACTCAGATGGTTCGGCAATGTACAGAGGATAAGCCCAGATGCTCCGGTAAAGAGGTGTGAGAGGCTGGTTGTGGAGGGCACGAGAAAAAGTAGAGGGCGGCCTAGGAAGTATTGGGGAGAGGTGATCAGGCAGGACATGGTGAGGCTTCAGATTTCCGAGGACATGACACTTGATAGGAAGATGTGGAGGTCCAGTATTAGGGTTGTAGGTTAGGAGGTAGTTGAGTCTTGCCTTACTTCGTACCTTTGTGAGACTAGTCTGGTAGGGTTTTGTATAAGATAGCTAGTGGCAATATTGTGTCTTACTATTTCGTTTTTCATAGTTACGGACATATTTACTAGCTATCGCTTTTGCTTTGCATCTATCTTCTGGATTTCATGTTATTTGTATTTACTAGCTATCGTTTTTGCTTTGCATCCACCTTTTGGATTTCATGCTATTTCTATTTTTCCTATGATTTCTGTGGTGGTACTGATATTGTCTCCTTTTGTCTTTTTGTCTTCTTGAGCCGAGGGTCTTTTGGAAATAGCCTCCCTACTCCTTCGGGATAGGGATAAGGTTTGCGTACACACTACCCTCCCCAGAACCCACTAGTAAAATTTTACTGGGTCGTCGTTGTTGTCACATAGTTAGCAGAGAAGAAAGAGAAGTAATACTAAACAATTTTTTTTTAATTGAAAAAGTAGTTATAATGAATTAGCTACATACAACATTTGAACATAAAATATTATGGTTCTTATCATCTCCACTTAGCTAACTGCTTGGAAATAAGACGCCCCTTCTGAAATCTAATGTTGCCTACTCCATTTTTTTCTTATTAGGCTGTTGAATTTGGTGATGGTGAGTGATTCAATGTGTGGTTTTTTCTTTTTCAGTTGAGGACCCGAAGCTCACTGACCCGACTAATGAGAGTTCAAGTCGAATATATCCGCTAGGTGAAATAAAGCGCCTGCTACATAAAGATAATTTTATACCTCCAAGATCTGAATCTGAAGTCTTTAATTAAGTGTAAAGAAAATTTCAACCTATCTCACCACACATACGACCAGAACAGTTACAACATGATTGTCAATGAACAGTTACTACATAAATATTTTGAGCATTAGAATACAATGAACTAGAACAAAGTATAGCATATACTAAACAACAACAACAACAAGTGGGATAGAGACTGTTTCCGATTGACCCAATATAGCATAAACTATAATTAAATTTTTTTGGGGTACAACATACTATAAATATACATATAACTAACCCCAACTAGTTTGAAATTGAGACTTATGTGATCGGTCAGCTGACTAATAGTCTAATACCAAATGATGGCCTCAAAACATCAAGAGACTAATAACCCTCAGACTCATATTGTAAAAGAAAGCAAGTGTAGTTGGGAAGAACAAGGATGAGAAATGCAAAAACATAAACATCTCATTTCTTCACAATTGTTGGTGCAAATTCCAGATAAATATTTAAAACAAATAAACAAGGTTAATAAAAATCCGCAGATTCGACATGACAATCAACAATTTTCAACTTGAATTTTCTCGAAGAAAAAGAACTCGGGCCAGAAGGCATATGCTACAAGAACCATCTATTGAAGCTTCTTTATACCAGGGAAAGAAGGAAGGATTGAGATTAGAGGGTCACCATATCCAACAGGATCTGTACCATAAACAGGTAAAGTGAGATATTGAAGTAGTCAGAGTTAGGATGTTCAAAATTATTTTTAACACATAGGAATTAAGAAGCATACCTCCGTCTTTTTGGAGTATCTTGATAACCTCTCCAGATACATCAGACTAAAAGAGGATAGAAAAGAAAAGACAAAAGGAGAATCAGCAAATATGCATGAAAATTTACTTGAAATAACAGAAACAGCTTGTACAATCAACAAGAAATTATGCATGCATCTATATCAGGGTCCGAACCTCAACAGGGAGCTCGCCACCAAGCTGCTCAATGAAGCAAACTACTTGTCCCTCCTTCACTTGCTGCTTCTACAGAGTAGAATTAACAAAAAACTGGTCACATGCTAAGCATAGCTAGAGTGTATTACTGAAACACAGATGACACTGCCACTCGTGCACTGAGAGAGACATGACAGAGAAAAAAGAAGAGACGAGGAGAGGAAGGTTGGAGGAGGAGGGTTTCAGGAATAGAGTAACATTGGACTCGGTTCATCAAGTTACACGACAGTTCCAAAAGGATCTGCAGACAGTTTAGATAGGGCTTTTCTCTAGATAAAAGAGTTACAGGGAAGACCTTAAATTTAGTCTGCTACTAAAAACAATTCTAAGCAAATTAAAATGAAGGCACCTTAAAAGGTAAAATTTGACACAAAAATCTGAATTCACAACACTAGGTGTGGACTCGCAAACAAAGCAACAGATTTTCTTTTTTTTTTCAGAACAAAGCAACAATATTTAGACATATTCCTGAATTTTTCTTAGACCTCCCCTTTAAACAGAGAACTCCTTTTGAAGGGGAAGGAGCTATATCAAATGAGATTAATAGTAAACTTTCCTGAATTTAAATAATAATCAGTTATCATAAAGACTAGAGATCGAAAATCTCTTTGTTTGACAAAAAGAAACATCTCATCTTGATTTAAAGGATAAAACATAATAAAACACCTACTTCTTTACAAGATGGAGGTGCACGCTTTCCCTTTATGGTTCGAGATCTTCTGAAATAGCCAACCTGCATGACGTACGGAATGTCATTTTCAGGGAGAGTGTGTGTGTGTGTGTGTGTGTTGTATATATATACACACACACATAAAGAGAGAGAGAGAGAGAGAGAGAGAAATCTCACCCTAGGAGATTGAATTATCACCAAGCCTTCATCTGCAGCTTTATCAATGATAGTCCGGATTCCATCTGAGGGAGGTGAAGACTTGGTGATGGCTAATGATGGTGACGAGGCTGAGCCATTTGAATCAGCCACTTCAACAGATGAATGAATATTGACAGGATTTGATATCGCAGGCAATGAAGTTGTACTTGGCCCCGTCAAGTCCCTCTTCACATATAAATGAAACCCACCAAGCTAACAATAAAATGAAAAAGCATTGTAAGAAGCAGAAGGATTAAGAAAGAGATTTGAAGAAGATGAAAGAATGCATGAGGTTCAGATCCTTAAGAAATAAAATAAACAAAATATTACGAAACCAGCTTACCTTTAGGTCAACTTCTGCAATGGAGGTTGTATCACATATTTCTGTAAGGAGAGATTCCACCTGTTAAATGAAGTAGGTATGTTTCATGTATTAATACAAAATGTCATCGCATGTAGGAAGTAACATATTAATAGGAAGACAACTTTTATTCAACTTGTCATCATTAACAGTGCCTTTTCACAACATTAATTTTAGCAGATCAAAACAGATCTTCCACATGAATGCAATGAAGCTACAAAAGTACCATGAATAATATGAATAAGACCTGTTTACCAAAGAATAAAAAATTCTCATCAAGAAGTTGGAAATAACAACTTGTTATTTAATTTCCTTTTCAGAGTCAGATTCTGATAGAACGAGGTGATGTAGCTTTGGAGGTATTAAACCATACTGCACATTATTCTGTACTTGCTAGCACTTATACTTTCAGAATAGATGAAATGGCAATACTATACAAGGTTGGGCAGAATCACACCCAAAACTCCAGTTTTATGCAATTCTCAGCTGGCTGAAAAGCTTGCAAAAGACGGTGCAAGTATAGGGATGATACTCTATGCATCACAGCAAAGGAAACTAAGTAATATAGAGTTATTAAAATAGATACAAGTCCGTTTTCTGAACGTGACATTGACCTTCCTTCAACCATGGCACCATGTAGAACTTAGAGTAGCCTTCCCAAATTCTGTTTCTTTTTCCTCCACTATAAGAGAAGATCCCAGTAGGAGCCTCTGAGTTAACACATTAGGAAGAAGTTGACGGAGTTAAATGCAACTAAAGTATTGCATCTGCCAACTTAAATATTTAAACCTAAAGGGTTACAGAATTGAAGTTGGAAAGACGGGAGAGGCATGAAATCCTTATTTTTTTTATTTTTTTTATTTTTATGAGGGAGGGGCATGAAATCTTCAAGTACCAATCTTGCAACCTGCCAATGGAAACACGTGGTTCGATACTGCATCAGGGTTGAATTGTTAATTATGAGGCCACTCCATCTATTGCCATATAACACCCACTTGTTCAATCAAATAGAATGTTTCATACCATCACCTGCTTTACAAGATCCTCCCACCTGCCAATAAATCTTTCCATAAAAGAACACTACCAGGATTCAAATCTTTCTGTCAAATGCAATAGTAGCTGGAAGCTTGAAGTCAAATTTGCATTGCAGCCTTCACTGTCACCCTCATTATCTCCCTTACAGAATATACAAAGCTACTGTACAATAATGCGATGTTTAATACTAACAGCCTCCCCATATTCAGAGAGGAAGTAAGCGGAATCTGGCTGACATTCTCTACTGAAGTTATGCTGTGTTATTTAATGGTCCTTAGCGTTCCCCAAGTTCCTGAAAGTTCTATATTTTGGAACTATGTAGCGGATGAAAACATGCTCCACCGGCAATGAACTTTCGCTACTTTATATCACTGAATAGGCGAATACCAGCAGTATGATCATCACATTACTGTATTTTAACAGAGTACATAATGCAAATAGAAAGTGCTGACCTCATATGAACTTGGGATCAATGGACTTGCAGTTTCTGAAGAAATGATCTTTCTCGAACTATCATCTGAACTATGACTGACTGCAGCTGCTGCAGCTACAAGAAGAGAGAAACAAAATAAAGTTGAATAATTATTTTTACATAACATAAATCATGTTCAAGCTCTAGGGTGAAGTCAGCAAGAAGTTATGCTAATTTGAAAAGGGAAACATTGATGTCAGCTCAGTATTTATCAACCTAGTAGAATGGAAAAAAGCAGTAACCTCTTAGAAAATGTAATTCAACTAGCTACTGAAAAATTTCCCGAATAAGAATGTAATATCTACTCCCTCGAAAGGTGAGCAAGAGAAGTGATCAGCTTTGATCTAATCTAAAACTCAAGCACAAGAACCAACAAAATAAAATAGAAACTCCAAAAGCAGGAGACGTCTAACAACATACTTCCAAATGACAAATAGAACTTCAAACTCTTGAAAAGTCAATATGATAATCAAGGATAACAAGTCATTCTTCATTATCGCAGAAAAACATAGCAACTTAGCATTTCAAATGATTTAAACTACGTACTCCCTCTGTTCCAATTTATATTGGAGCACTTCTTTTATATTCGGTTTCAAAAAAGAATGACAGTTTTTAAATTTGAAAACAATTTGATTCAAATTTCCCATTTACACAAAATGATGAGCTTTTTATAGCCACACAAAGTTTAAGAACACAAGTTTCAAAAATCTTACTTTTCCTTCTTAAACTCCGTGCCCAGTCAAATGTGTTGCATAAATTGATACAATGGAAGTATATAATACTAGCATCACTGTCATGTCCGTGTGATAGGTAAGTTAATAAACGAGTCGATTGCAGACATTGTATGGGCAGAGAATTTGCACTCACTTATTGATGAAAATACAAAATCCAGGAAAAAATGCAGTAGCCAAGCATTTGGCTGGTCATTAGTTTGATAGGGGGAAAACATAATCTGTGAGGGAAATGACTCACATTCAACTTCAGCAGTCGAACACCAGCAACCAAACAATGTCTTCCTTGATTTCGTGGTTAAGAGCAACCCATCACTTTGACTCAATTTCTTAGTTCTCAAATTGTGCAATGCAGTCAATTTGGGCTTAGAGGATCCCAAATTCAAGTTTGTTAACTTAAAGCCAGAAGCCCCAAAACCACCTGGATTAAACAAACACATCCCAAAATCAACAAACAGAAAATTAATACTAGTAAATCATTTAACATACGTTTTTAACGTAGTAATTACAATCCTAACAGAAATAGAGAGCAATCGATAATTCCAATAAATGGAAAAGAGTCAAGAAGTCAGAAAATTTAGAATTTGTATCAATTTTACCGAGACAAGAAATAATTTAACGACGACCAATTAGTTTCGAATTGACGCATATCAAGTAGGAGCAATCAACAATACCAGTGATGCAAAAAAAATTGGAGCAGTAAGAAAAGCTCTCATTCTCATTAAATTAATATAAGTAAGAAAAACGCCCATTTTATTAAACTAACCGAATTCCAACTAGCTTGGGATTGGGACATATTAAATAGAAAGCAATCAACAATGCCAGCCATGGAAAAGGAGTCAATGAAGTAAGAAATCATTTTTATCAAAATAACAAATTCAATAAAAAGAAAAGACGTGAAACCCAGTTTAATTTATTAAAATAAAATTAAGAATTTGAAGAATAAGCAATTAATAATTCAAGTACGGACCAAAAAGATTACTTGGAGTAGTAAATTTTAACAACAAGATACATGCATGAATCCACAAAAACTAAAGATATCAAAAAGAAAGGGCATTTCGGTACTTAACATGCAGCCATAAGAAGGGGCAAAACCCTACGGGAAGAACAGAGCAAAGCAGAGAGTTGCTGATAAAGCTTGAAGCTTTGCTCGTTGTCGATGCAAACGAAGAAGTTAGAAAGCAAAAACGAGAACGTCTCTCTTATTACTGTTTAGTTTAAATTGTAATTTAGTTTAACAAGGCCCATGAATCAAAGGCCCGTTTTCTATCGATATAGGCCCGTAGTTGTGGATAAGGTCGGCCCGCCATATATCTTGGCAGCTGTCTGGTGTGTAAAAACACTGGTTCTTAGTGTCCCATTGACATTGAAAATAAGAATAAGAAAATAAATCAATAATAGTAGCATATAAGATTATTATCACTGATAACACGCTGAACATTTTAAAAAATAAAATCTAAAAATAAATCCGCAATATTAGTAATATATAAGATTATTGTATACGGGTAAAATCGAACCCTTGAGATGCCTCGGCTGCCGATAAAGTAAACAGAGTAAGAGACGTGACGGCAAGGAATCGGGATTGGGATAAGAAGCCCCTCGACCGGGGGTCCGGGGGCACGACGCCCGCCCTCGGGAATATGGGGACCATGACCCCAGGACCGGGTCAAACCCCAAAACACTTCAGAGAGCGTTACCGGGCAGCCGAGCATGACTAACAAAAGGTCGTGATATCCGAATCCGTAGCCAGTCGGATATTACGGTGTGAATCTCGGCACGTACTGGCGAAAATTCGGTGATTAGTTAAACGAAGGATTTTTACCTGTTATGGAATTGTACTTAGAGTAGGACTCTCCCTACTATATAAAGAGGGTCTGATTATTCATTAGACGCACTGTAACACGCATATCAAGGCAATATACTATTATTTTCCCTGTTATTCAAAGTTTTTATTCGTGTTCGTCAGTGCTTGGTCATTGTGAGTCTAGGATCGAGGGCGGATATTTCATTAAGGTTGTTGTTAAGTCCGAATAATTTACTACACCATTTATCTGTTTAATCTAATGCAGTTTCTCGTTTGTATCGAATTAATCTGTGTATCCTTAAAATCACTTACAATTTAATTTTAATCCATTTTTTAGGGTAAACAGTTTGGCGTCCACCGTAGGCTAAGGATAATAATGGCAATTTGATACAAATTTTCATAGTACACCCTATTTTACACTTATTCTTTGAGCTTTTAATTTCAAGTCAAAATTTAAAATGTCAAACCCTCATTCTGCCCTTTGAACGTAGATGCTGAGTCTAGCTACCATGGCGAGAACAACAATATGGTACCCAGTAACGAGGTACCCCCTTCCGACCCCAATGGAGTTCCGGTCGTGGACCCTGTCGGCTCTAACTCACACGTGGCTATCAATGTAAACTTGCCTACCGATCCTGAGAACAACATCCGTGGAGAAGTTTGATCGGTGGCCCAAAATGCACGCGACGACGAAGGTGATGGGATCAACTTGCGAGTAATCTTTGAAATGTTGCAAGCTCAACAGGCAGCAATAGCCTAGCTGCAAAACCAGAGCCATGCTCCCAGCAGAGTCGAGCCCGAACCGTCCGGGAAAACACTCGTAGAAATAAACTCATTGTAGAAAGGCTGAGCGAAGCTGAACCCAGGACCAACCCCGAGATCATAAAAATGCTTGAGGAACTGACAAAATGGGTGAAATCAAGAGAAAAGAAAATTGAAGCCAATGACAAAATAGTAGAAACCTACAATTCCAGGGTTGACCAAATCCCAAAAGCACCACCAATATTGAAGGGCCTGGATTCCAAAAGGTTTGTTCAAAAACCTTTTCCTCCAAGCGCAGCTACGAAGCTGATCCCAAAAAAGTTCCATGCCCGAAATTCCTAGGTACAACTGACCCAAATTGACACGTGACCTCTTAGAAGTGCGCCATCAAGGGGAACGACTTGTAAGATGATAAGATCGAGTCTATCCTGCTGAAGAAGTTTGGAGAGACCTTATCAAATGGAGATATGATACGGTATCACAACTTACCCTCTAATTCTATTGACTCATTTGTTATGCTTGCAGGCACCTTTTTGAAAGCACACGCTGGGGCCATCAAGGTTGAGACCAGAAAGTCAGACCTTTTCAAAGTAAAGCAAAGAGATAACGAGATGCTCAGGGAATCAGTGTCTCAGTTTCAAATGGAATGAATGGAACTGCCTCTGATCGCGGATGATTGGGTCATTCAGGACCCAAGGACTCAATACTCAAAGCGCATTGGCTTCACAATAGTTGAAGTAAAATCTGATAGAATACCCGGCGGTAACTTGGGGTGACATCCATAACCGGTACCAATAAAAATTAGGGTCGTAGGTGATCAGCTCGGGAGCCCTTCCAAGTCCGTTTATCCTGTAAGAACTAGCTACAGATCTAAAAGAGACATTGATCATGAACCAAGATCGAATAAAGACCGGTATCAATCATACAATGGAGATCGAAGGGCAACGGGTCTGGATGGAACCCTATGAGAAGTGAAAGAAGAAGCGACCGAGGTTAAAATAATTGGGGACTCATGAGCAAAAGCGGTTTTGACAGGCCCACGGACCTAAGGAAGCGTCGAGGTTATCGGAGTACGACTTCAACGTCGATGCTGCTGCCATCGTATCTACCATCGAACACATCAAAGACACCAAGTGGCCTCGACCTTTACAGTCTGATCCCGCCCAAAGGGACCCCAACCTAATATGTAAATATCATGGCACTCACGGCCACAGAACTGAAGACTGCCGATAACTGTGAGAAGTAGTTTGGTTATTCAACAACGGACACATTTGAGAGTTCCTGAGCAATCGAGCCAAAAATAATTTCAAGAATAGGGACTCCAATAAGCAGATCGAGCAAGAGGAACCTCAGCACATCATTAACATGATCATTGGTGGGGTCAACATCCCCCGTGGGCCGATGTTAAATTGCACCAAAGTGTCCATCACAAGGAAAAAAAGAGACTCAAGATTACATGCTAGAAAGAACCGTATCTTTCAATAACGAGGACGCTAAAGGCATCATTCAACCACACAATGATGCACTGGTAATATCTGTACTCATAAATAAATCTTGAGTTAAGCATGTGTTAAATGATCCAGGTAGCTCGGCCAATATCATTATATCGAGGGTCGTAGAACAGCTGGGTCTACAAGAACAAATTGTGCCTGCAGTCCGAGTTCTAAACGGATTCAACATGGCATGTGAGACTACTAAAGGGGAGATAACCCTATTGGTGAACACTGTCGGAACCGTTCAGAAAAGAAAGTTCTACGTGATTGAAGGAGATATGAGATACAATGCTCTGTTTAGGAGGCCATGGATTCACAAGATGAGGGTAGTGCCCTCGACACTACACCAGGTGTAAAAATTCCCAGCACTAGGAGGGATTAAAATAATTTATGGAGAATAATCGGACGCAGAGGAGATGTTTGTGATCGATGAGGTGGTCCCAATATCCTCACTCTCGACATCAAAGAACCCGAGTTCGATCAAGCAATCACCGATACCGGCCCCGATCGAGCCGAAAAAATAGGAGACGGTCGAGGATGATGACTACGGAGTTCCCAGGTCTTTCATAGCCCCCGACGATTCCGATGCCACCAAATCAACGGACGAGAAGCTGGAGCAAGTCACATTGATCTAGCATCTGCCCGATCGGAAGGTATACATGGGCACGGGGTTAAGTCCTGAGCTCAGGAAAAACACATTGAATTCCTTATAGCTAACATAGATTATTTAGACTGGTCCAACCTTGACATAACAGGGATCCCACCGAAAATAACTACTCACAAGCTGATCCTGGATCCGAAGTTCCACCCGGCCAAACAAAAAAAGAGGCCTCAGTTCGAAGTCAAGCATGCATTTATCAAAGACAAGTATCTAAAATCTTTAAAATAGGATCCATTCGGGAAGTTAAGTACCCTGATTGGTTAGAAAATGTAGTAGTAGTCCCTAAAAAGAGGAATAAATTATGAATATGTGTAGACTACAAAGACTTGAACAAGGGATACCCTAAAGACTCTTTTCCTCTGCCCAACATCGATCGCATGATCGATGTGATGGCCGGCTATGAGATCCTCAGCTTTCTCGATGCCTATTACAGGTACAACCGAATTCGGATGGACCCGGGCGAAGGAAAAAACTTCCTTCATCACTAAATATGGCACCTACTGTTATAATGTAATTCCATTTGGGCTAAAAACTGTCGATGCCACTTACCAACACAAAGTAAATCGGTTGTTCAAAGAGAAAATAGGAAACTAAATGGAGGTTTATATTAACGACATGTTAGTTAAGTCCCTGCGAGCAGAGGACCATTTGAAACATTTGCAGAAACCTTCAACATATTGAAGAAATACAATATGAAGTTGAACCTGGAGAAATGCGCATTTGGAGTCGGATCCGGGAAATTCCTCGAATTCATGGTGTCCAACCGGGGGATCAAGATCAATCCCGATAGGATCAAGGTCATAAAGGGCATTACCGTGGTGGACAATGTCAAGGTCGTTCAAAGGCTAACCGGGCGCATAGCCGCCTTGGGTCGATTCATTTCAAGGTCCTCTGACAAGAGCCATCGGTTCTTCTTGTTATTGAATAATAAGAACAACTTCTCATAGACCCCGGAGTGCCAACAAGTCTTAGAGGAACTCAAGTGGTACCTTTCGAGCCCGTCTTTGCTTCATACACCGAAGGCAGACAAGCAGTTGTACTTGTACATATCGGTATTCGAAATAGTGGTAAGTGGAGTCCTGGTCCGAAAAGAGGAAGGTACGTAATTTCCTATCTATTATGTTAGTAGGACTCTAAGCAAGGCCAAAACTAGGCATCATCACCTGGAAAAATTGGCGCTCGCTTTGCTAAGCGCCTCTAAGAAGTTAATGTCATATTTTCAATGCCATCCCATATATGTCATGACTACTTACCCGTTGAGAAACATAATGCATAAAACTGAGCTCTCGGGACGATTGGCCAAATGAGCCGTGGAAATAAGCGGGGTACGATATTGAATATCGACCTTAAACCTCCATCAAATCTTAAATTTTGGCGGACTTCGTGGCCGACTTCACGCCATCCCTAATACTCAAGGTCGAAAGAGAATTGTTGTTGGACTCGGGGACTTCCTCGAGGACTTGGACCCTCTTTACGGACGGTGCCTCGAACGTAAAGGGGTCCTAACTTGGCATTATATTGAAGCTGCTGACGGGTAATGTAGTTAGGCAATTTATTAGAACTGTAAAATTGACTAACAACGAGGCCGAGTATGAAGCCATGATTGCAGGTCTCAAACTGGCTAAAAGCCTGGGGGCCGATATGATACAAGCTAAGTGCGATTCTCTCCTTGTGGTGAATCAAGTCAATGGGACGTTCGAAGTCAAAGAAGAACAAATGTGAAGTTACCTGGATAAACTACTGGTAATGTTACATTTGTTCAAGGAGTGGACCCTGGAATATGTACCTCGAGATCAAAACAGCAACGCTGATGCTCTTGCTAACTTGGGATTGTGGGTTGATGACGATGAATTCAGCTCGAAAATGATCGTACAACTTATGAAATCGGTAGTGGGAGAAAGCCACACCGATATAAACTCGACAAGCTTAACTTGGGACTGGAGAAACAAGTACTCCCTCCATTTCAATTTAGATGAGGTAGATTGACTCGGTACAGAATTTAAGAAAAAAGAAGAAGACTTTTGAAACTTGTGCTCTTAAAAGCTTAAGGGATAAAAGCTTTGCGGGGCCATAACATTTGTGTAGCTATAAAAGTTTCTCATTAAGGATAAACGGATAAGAAGAGTATAAAGTTGAATTATTTCCAAATTTAGAAATGTGTTATTTATTTTGGAACTGACTAAAAAGGAATGTACCTCATCTAATTTGAAACGGAGGGAGTATAAGATTACCTGAATACCAGGAAGCTTCCCTCGGATCCTAAAGAATCGAGAGTTTTGCGCATAAAGGCGGCGAGGTTCAGCCTGTCCGAAGACAACATCTTAGTAAGGAGAATGTTCAATGGCCCACTCGCCATATGTCTGAGACCAGGAGATACCGAATATGTCTTGAGGGAGGCTCACGAAGGCACTTGCGAGAACCATTCGGGTGCTGAATCATAGGTTCGTAAGTTAATCAGAGCCGACTACTACTGGATTAACATGGAGAAAGATGTGAAGAAGTTCGTATGAAAGTGCGGCTGATGTAAGAGGCATGCACCGATGATTCATCAGCCGGGGGAGCTACTACATTCGATCTTGTCACCTTGGTCATTCATAAAATGGGAAATGGACATAGTCGGTCCCCTGCCATGGACACCCGGTAAGGCTCAATTTATATTATTTATAACTGACTATTTTTCTAAATGGGTGGAAGCCCAAGCATTTGAGAAAGTTAGGGAGAAAGAAGTTATTGATTTTATTTGAGTCCACATAATATGTTGGTCCGGAATGTCGGCCGAGATCATGTGGGACAATGGGAAGCAGTTCATCGGCAGTACGGTGAGAAAATTTTTAAAGGACCATAAGATCAAAAGGGTCCTATCAACACCCTATTACCCTAGTGAGAACGGGCATGCAGAGCCTATGAACAAGAGCATACTCCAAAACCTTATGAAAAGATTGACCAGCGCTAAAAGGAAAATGGAAGAAAATTTTGCCTGAATTCATGTGGGCATATCATACGACCTCAAAATCTAGTACTGGGGACACCTCACTCTCGTTAATCTATGGTGCCAAAGCGCTAATATCGGTCAAAGTAGGATAACCGAGTTTCAGATTCTGATATGCGACCGAAGAGTCAAACGATAAGGCCATGAGCACGTGCCTGGATCTATTGGACGAGAGGCGCGAGGTAGGGGTATGCATTCGAATCGGTTTATCGATAAATCAAATCGATTATTTGTTATCGGTTTATCGATTTTTCGATTTCGAAATTTTCCTAATCGAGTTATCAATTTTGATTTCGATTTTGTTCTCTTCGGTTATTGGTTTATCGATAAACCAATAAGATATACTAAAAAGACAAATATACTATTATTATATAATACCCTTTCCTTTACCCTAAATCCCTAACCCTATTATTTGCAGAAGCAACAGTTGACTCCGTCAAATTAACTATTCGATTAACAGCAGCCTTGAATTCAAAAGTTACCTTTCTATGAGAACGTCTAAAGAGCAATATTTTTAATAAATGTCTAACTCGAAGCTATTACATGTCATCACTAATACTTAAGTTATAGAACTCACTCATGGGAATTCTCCAGGCGAACAATTTCTGTACCGGTTTCAACATCCGTTGCAAGAATAGAAAAATCTGGAGATCCCGTTACAATTGCTGTAACCACTACATTGAAGCAAACGGAATAAGAAAGTAATCGATATCGTTTCAATTTGATTCTTTTTGTCCATATTAGTTAGGCATGTTTATAGCGATATACTTTCTGTGGAATTCCGCAAATTTTCTTATTGGTGTAATCGATAACCGAATCGATAAGTCCCAAAAATCAATAAATCGAAATCAAAAAAATCAAAACCTTATTGAAACGATAACGATAAGCATAGGTACAAATCGATAATCGATAAGTAATTATCGATAAAGGTCAAAATCGAATGCACACTCCCTAGCGCGAGGTCGCCCTCGGCCGGTTAGCCGCCCAAAAACAATGTATCAAAAGGTATTACATTCGGAGAGCCAACCTCCGACACTTTAATATCGGGGACTTGGTGTTAAGAAAGGTGACACTAAAAACCCGGAACCCGAACGAATGGAATCTAGGACCAAATAAGGAAGGTCCATATCGAATTATCGAGATTACCGGCAAAAGATCATACAAACTCGAAGCGGGGAACGGTGAGCGACTACAGAACAACTGAACGTAACCCACTTTAAACGATATTACTGCTAAGGTATGACCCATTCATTCTTTTCTTTACATATCTTACGAACTGGGCTAACACTTGCAGGCAACAACAAAAGAATGATGCAGCTATTAGGTCTGAAAGCACGCGTTGCACTCTTTTCCCTTGAACCGGTTTGTCCCAAATGGGTTTTCCAGTAAGGTTTTTAACGAGGAAATAGTAGATCGTGCTAGCTTAGAATAAAAGACCGGCTATGAACTAGAGTCGAGGGTAACATCAACAGTATCTTATCCCTATCGACGATCGACCTCGAATATTAGGGGCCATTAGGGGTGTCAATGGATATTCAAAAATTGATTAAGCAGACCGAACCGTACCGCACCGAACCAATTTTTAGGTTTCTTTTTAAGAAACCGTAGGTTTTTATATAAATCTATAACTGCACCGATTATTAGGGTAGATAAAAATAAATCGAAAAAATACCGAACCGTACCGAATAAATTTTACATGTAGAAAATATATTTTTTTAGTAAGTTTAAAAATAATAATGCATTAAATTGTCTTTGAGCCTTGTAATTATGAAAACTATTACAAGTCAATAAGTAATTAAACTTAAAATACTAATTCCTAAAACCTATTATGCTACTTCTACTTAAACTAAGTTATTTCAAGTATCTTTATGAGTAAGACACAAAGTATTCTAGCGATTATGAGTAGCAAACTACAATGTATTGAATATGTTTCCTTTCATATAATTTAGATTTATCTTTTTGAATATTTAATCTTCTATAGACTTTATTCTTGAGTCCCGGCTTGGTATATCTTTCAACTCGTGTGATTAATATTTTTCTTTGCCTTTGTTTGATTTCTTTTATGCTGTTGTAGAATAGTTGATGGATCTATACTCTAGCCATCCTTTTTTTTTAATTCATCACCCTTTAAACAGTAAAAATGTCTAGAGAGATTTGCTAAGTCCTATAAAAGAACGTATGTTATTACAATTTTACTTCTACTGGTGAATTTTACATAATATTAAAAAAATACCGAAGAGAAACCAACATGATTGAGACGGTTTCGAAAAGTCTAATTTTGGTTATACATAATAGAATGACCAAAAAATTGGAATGGTACAAAGTTTATAAAATAACCAGCGGAACTGAACCATTGACACCCCTAGGGGCCATCACCCTCAAATAATGATTTTAGCAAGGAAGGAAATTTTGTGCTTGAAAAGTCTAGGCTTGATGGATAGGATTTATTGTAAGGGCCAAACGGTCAAATGAACTATGCCCATATAGACCATTTAAGCCATAACACGAAGCTTGTGTACATTTGCAATCTTGTATGTTGCGCACAAAAATGAAAGAAAATTTCCACCTTAAGGATACATATTTTGTCCCTTAAGATTATTATATTTTGTTCCTTAAGGATATCGAGCCCAAGGGCCGCCTCTATCCAGATCCAAGAGATCACCCTCACTCGGGGACTATTGTCCTAGGCAAGTTTGGACGGCTCGGGTATCGAAGCCCGAAGGCATAGAAGCCTACTAGGTAGTGCCTAAACTTAAAAAGCTACGGCCACCCCCACTCAGGGACTGTCGCCCAAGGCAAGTTCGGACGGCTTAGATATCGAAGCCCGAAGGTACAAAACCTATTAGCTAGTACCTGAACTCAAAAGGCTACGACCACCCTAGAAACAGATCATAGACGCCCAAAAGCCCGTAATCAAAATATAAGGCCTTGAAAAAATCCAAACCGGTTCAAAAGTCTACCCTTGGCAAAACTATAGTCTAAAAACATTTAAACGAGCACTTCGGGGAAAGCTTCCGATCATACCAAGCCCCCACGAGTTTCAAACAAAAATTACATCAAGAATGAGTCTTGCTCGAACCTCTGAACAAGACCTTATCACTATATTTTATTCTGTACTAAAGCATATGAAATCTTTGCAATCATAAAGAGAAAGTCAAACGAAACGAACTAGAAAACTTCCAAAGGAAAAAAAGCGTTATATACATTCCGATAAAAGTCTTTACAAAGGCCAACAATAGCGGCCTCAACAAAATGAACAAAATATAGAAACAAAGAAAAATCCTTAAGGAACCTAAGCCTAATTTTCACCAGAGCCCGTCTCGTTACCGGGGTCGTCGGGGTCTTCTTCGTTTCGGGTTCGCCGGAGCCCTCAGAGCCTTCCTCATCCTTGGGGTCAGCCAGCTTCTTGGCCTTGACTTCGAGCCTTTTAGCATATTCGATCTCGACCGACAGATCAAAACCCTGGGCATGGAACTCCTCGATAACCTCCCTTAAGGACTGCCAGTTCACGTATTCAACAGTAACTTTCAGGCAGTCCTGGGCTGCCTTGGCATCGGCCCTGTTCAAGGCCACTATCTCTTCAACATTGTCACGCCCCAAACCTGGGAGGCGTGGCTAGCACTCAGTGTTGTGCTAGCCCGAGCGAACCATTCTGTAACTCATTTATTCCTTTTATAACTATCATGGGCCCACATGGCCACAACTTATAATGTACAACTTGTAGGTGAGCAAATGTTATATTAATGAACCATCGTTCTTAAAACATGAATACATATGGGGCATCAAGGACTCTGACATACTGCATAAAATGATCCCCTGTCTATAAAGCCTCTAATATTATTTGACATCAAATGGGATAGGGTACCGGCCTACACATAAGTTTGTAGCTGAACTCTGACAAGATGACTCATAGACTCGGCTGCACTCCGTATGAGGTGGAGTCTTACCGATCCTTCGTTGAATGTCAATCTCATCTACTATGAGGGCTCATCAAATTGATTATCTATACCTGCAAGCATGAATGCAGCATCCCAAACTAAATGACGTCAGTACGAATAATGTACTGAGTATGTAAGGCAGAACTAAAACATAACAGTAATTCAACATTAATTAAGGACATGGAAGAAACATGAAGTAAAGGACTCAACCTGTAAGTCTGGATAGCTCCGTAAATCGTGAAATATTTATAGTATCATGCATATGTTATAAATGTCATGTAATGCATAGGTCTGTACGTACATAACATCATAAAGCCTCTGAGGGCATTCCATCATATCATCTCAGTCACTATGGGCAAAATCATCATCGTATACCAGCTGATCAGGTGGTGATTGACGAGACCAATGTGCATAGGATTTTTCTGCTCG